TATATATATAGGACCTAAGAATCCATTAAATAACAAAAACACTTGTCAGTGTCAGTTTCTCAGAGAATTTAGATGAGATGCACATACCTTAAAGAGTCATATAGGGATTTCATTGAAAAAAAAAATCATAGCTTAGACAATTCTGTTTAGCAATGTGTTTGTGACTTTTTTTTTGTCCTTTTTGACCGCTGAMAACATTGTGTTTTTCAGATGTAGGGGAATTAAAATGTGGTTCGGTGTTTCCTGATTTCTACTAATACCCAAATACAGAGCAACCAGGTTGACAGACAACATGATAAATTATGAAAATTTAATAAAAGTCAGCCATAATTCAGAGTCAAAAGAGGCTGGAGAGTGCTGGCAATCAAAGTCTGTTAGACTTCATTTAAAACCGGCCACTGGAGGTGCTGGAATAATTTAAAAGGGGAACAGAACATGTTCCAAAAACTATGCAAGCACAAAAACATTGTAAAGGTAAATAAACAAATTGAGAGATAAAAGAAAATAGCTAAAAACAAGCTAAATTGGCAACAAAAGATTGATCACTCTAACATTATCTTCCTTTCTGTTTAAACTTTTCCTTCTGAGATGGAGCTGTGTGTCTGCTCATAATTCGGAGCACCAAAATGATTCCAAATCAGTCTCATTTCTATTTCCATTTCCATTACATTTTGACAAATAGCAAGAWATCGTACAAGATTGGCACTAACCAGGTAAAATTGTTTTATCAAACCATCACATTTAACATTTCTGACTCCATCTGCACCAGCRCAGCATTTTCCATGCTGTTTTCAGACATCATTTATGCAAAGCAATTTGTCAGTCGAAACTCTGCACCAGCTGTGCTTACTGTAAAAATTGTGACAAAAAAATTGCTAAGTGTAAATGTAAAAAAAAAAAAAAAACTTCAATTCCCTGAACATGCCACAGTACTGGCTTCATCTAGCAGGGGAGATTACAGGAAAATTAAATGGTTATAAAGGGTGAGATTTTGGGGGCTTTCGTCCTAATTGTGGTGAGGCAGCATGTTGAGATGGAGAGCAGAGCTCCTCTTCATCCCCAGTGAGAACCTGGCTAATGAGGCCTGGTGTGCACCTCCTGCTGTCCACCTCCCTTGCTTTGCTCCCCTTCCACCAACCTCTCTCCACCTGTGCTAAAATTTCAGCTGAGCTATGCATGGCTGTCCCCAGGCACAAATTTAGCCACAGCGTGATCTATGTATGACATACACTATGATACACAGCACAAGAGTGCACAGCCTTAAGCGTTCCAATGGTTGCATGTTTTGTTTAGCTTATTTTTTCTTTTTTTTTTCCTCGTCTTTCATCAAGCTGGATCCAAATAAACTTCACATAATGAGAAGTGCTTGACTACACATTGATGCCTCTGTTGCAGTCTGACTCACTCCTTGAGTATGCCAAGCTCCTTTTTCCTTTTTTTTTTTTTTTTTTGATGCTGATTTCCAGGAAATTAAGTGAACGAGCGGGAAGCTTAGTAAGCTGGAGTAATAACTTCCAACCAGCCATCAACGCAACTTTTGCTCTAACCTGATTGTTTCGATCAACATTACAATAACACCCACATTAAATCTGCGTGTACACAAAGCTGGTGGTTTGTCTTTTGTAAGTGTTGTCACTTCTTGAGAGATATTGAAAGGGACAGAGTGTATTTCCTGTTAAAGGATCCTATAACCGTGTCCTGCCAGTTGCATCTGCTGCGCAATCAAACCAATCACGGCAGTTGATGGTCAGTGATTGCTTTCAGATTGGCTTGCCTTCACGTGGCCCTCTTTATTTTTTCTTCCTTTTTTTTCTTCCTTTTTTTTTTTTTACGGACACCTGCTGTGGATGTGAAACTGTGAAGCCATGGAAATGGAGGAGAGAGATAGAGARCCTGGGAAGCATCTGCTTTCCACTTAGAAATCACATTTTCACATCTTGGTTCAGTTCAAGTGATTGGACTCTATTTATATCACTAATCCATCCATGTTTAATATGAGCATTTAATTGGTCATTTTTATCTACTTACAAAAAAAAAACAAAACATTGTCTTAGCACCTCTTTCCTTTGAAGGCTCCCTGCTCTTGCACACATTTTGCAACACTGTTACCAGCTGTTTTCTTTCGCTTTCTTCTGAAAGAACATGCCAGAAAATCCTAGTCCTGGGGCAGGGAGATAGCATTGCTGCCGTAGTGGTTACATGTTAGTCAATTTGAAATACACCGAAAGGAATGCCTCTCATGTGACTCCAGGCCAGCAGAGCGTGACTGGCTGCAAGCTCGCCAAGTTTGGCTGGTCACACATGACGGGGCAGGAGACGAGCAGAAGCATGAACACGGGTGTCGTTGCTGTCAGATGTGTACACCTCAGCAGCAAACAAGTTGAGGAGGCTGATTCTTCCCCCCTTGCTTTAGACTAATTGACTCTGAGCTGATGTGTCAGAAGTTCAAAGAAGTAGCAACATGCAGCATGAACTCCTAAGTTGTTATTTGGAGAACGCTTGTAAGGAAGGTGAAGCCCTTCTTAGCCAAGGAACTGTAGTATGACTCTAACAGAGGAGGAAATCTGTTTCATTTTTATTTATTTAATTTTTTTTTTGTGTGTGTGTTATTCAACCTTCAGTTCCGCTTATCAAGATTACAAGAACAAGGCTGTTTGGCTATATACAGGCTGATGCTGACAACTGATAGCAGTTACTTGTGCTCAATAGTTTAACACAGTAAATAAATTAATAAATAAATACAACAAATAATTAAGGGAAAACTGCTGTCAAGACTGAAGATAATTAAAAACTGATCATATCTTAAGGGAATGCATAGTTCCTGCTATCTTTATCTGTCAATTTGAGTTGTAGCCAATTTGCTGTATTTATTGTTAACTAGCTTGATTTGGTTTAACTCCAAAAGTTAATCAGTTGTAGATGTGCATCCATTGATTACTTTCTGAAAATTAAATCAGACCCTGCCATGTGATTTAAGAGAAATGCTGCTAAAAGACAAGAAAGTGGTCATTCAAAGTGAAAGGTTTAAATGAAGGTTTTGTTCAGTGTGTAAGGTTTTGCATTTGTGTTGCCAAAGACTTGAAACTTTGTGTTCAAATTGGAAGTTCAAATTAAACTCGGTGAAACAATTCAGTTCTCGATTTGAAAATTTTATTTACCACCGCATGTGAGGCATAACGACAATGCTGGATCATTTCAGAGAACAGATCAGCCTCAAGTGCTGCTCCTCATGAAATGGCCCTGAGCCAACTTGCATTATCTTTAGAGCTAGTCAAGSCAACAGGAAATATCATAGGCTGAGTCTCAGTTCATTGGCTGCATCCTCATGAGTGCGCATTTGTCGGCTGCATACGTCACTGCCCCACGCCAAGTGCTCTCCCAATTCAAAGGCTCATTTTATATGGCTGAGGAATGTGGCCTACCAAATCTAGTAAATGAATGATGTGTCAGAGTATCCTTTCCTGTCTAGGCTATCCTAGGATTCAATGCGCCGACAGCAAACTAAACAGAAAAAAAAA